CAGTTGGGACATAGTATATACACTTACTCGTCCAGTTTTCCTCATTGCTTTTATTTCACGAGGTGACAGCTGCTTTATTTGTCCACTGCTCTTTGCCAATCTCTCCGACCGAGGTACCCCGTCCTCAGTATAATCCGGACGTGATATATGACTAGGTACACTCCTGGTTGGGGTCTAAATGGGCGGGGTAGTAAAGGATTAATTTGATTGGTCGATGAGCAGTCAAATGACTTACAACAGGCGCAGGTCTGAGTGGTCCCGTGAATTTAAACGAAGGCCATGGATTATAAAAGCTTGTCTTCTTGTGCACGAGCTTATGTGTCCCCCAAAAACCTTTGAAACAATCCTAATGATTTATAAAGTAGAATGTAGCGACATAACACAAATTACACTCAGCATTTTTCAATTACTTGCGAGCAGAAGAAGCTTCCAGCAATACTTAGTTTAATACAAGTGGGGCACTGTAGTGCAGCTGGTTTATCACATCCTTCAGTTTGACAGAATTGCTCTTCAGTCTCAGCCTTCTCTTCAATTTCTTTCGTTTTTGAGTCTTCTTCAACTACACCGTTGGCGGCCATTTTAATTTGGGCGTGTCTAACCACACCTAGATCAATAAATTAATTAGTAGTTATTAAAATTAATTTTATTAATAATCAATATAATAATCAACACAATAATAAGTATAAATAGTAAGAATCAGAGTTGATTACAAGTATCAATATGCATTGATAAACACTCGAGAGTCAACTTGCAACAGGAACGAGTTGCTAGGCAACGCATTTTGAGCGTGGCAAGATGGGCGGGAAGTACCGCAGAAGTAACTAACGTCGGACGTAATCCTTTAAATAGAACAGGCACATTAGCAGGTAGTTCGTCTTTAACACTAAATGTCAGCTGGTTTGGTATTGGCAATGGGTGGCAAACAGCTGGTTCTATACTTTGTAAAATATTCGAACTATTCTCAATCGCTGAAGGAACAACACCTAGCAAGCTGTCATCTTTTTTCATCCATTCTCTCGTAGTAACTAGGTATTCTTTAAGCTCCCCGCTCTTCCAAAGACTAAGGTTGTCGGCTAGTAGTTTTTTCTGGTATTCAGTGAGAGAAGGTTTCACTTCTCCCCACTCTAGGTCTTGTAGCCATTGTGATCTGTCACCATTCCTGACTCTATCAATTTCAAGCAGGAGTCGTCTTAACCAAAGGCCTTGTCGATGGTGATGAATTTCATCAGATATTTCATCAAAACTATCCCTGCTCCAGCTGTCTTCTCTTCTCGACTCCTTCAACTTGAGATCTCTTATCAGTCCTTCAGTACAAAAAGATGTCTTAAAGATAAGAGGACCAGATAAAACAGATAATGGAGTGGGAACAGGTGCACTTGGAGGAAGATTGGCTGAGGCTGTCGAAGAGAGAGGAGGAGGTTGAGTAGTAGATTGAGGAGTGTTAGTGGGCAGTTCGTTATCAGTTACACAGAGTCCACTATAAAGGATTACTATATCAGTGTTTCTCCATTGTTCTGTACAGCTGGTCACTATATTGCCCCAAGTCTCTTCGTCGGTCGTCTCACTTTCTGGAAAAACCAAGACAAGCTGAGTATCCATGGAGACGAATATGTTACAAACATGATAGAGGTAGCTGCCATTAGGGGGGCTGGGGGAGTGACGGAGAGGCCAGAAAAATGGCTGGAGGGCAGCCGACTTGTGATTGGATGTCTCTACAGTGTGGACGGCCATTGCTGCGTATTCTGGTGAAGGCGTGAACCACAGGAACGTCCTCTTGACTGGTAAAGGAAGAGAGGGAGAGAGAGAGGTACATCTTAAGCAGTCCAGAAGGTGGAAGGCTGGCTTTAGATGCAGTCTCTCTTTTAAGAAATCTAAAATTTGGTCTACTTTTTGTGAACTGTCTTCTTTTTTTTCAACGTTCTCTTTGTCATTTTTGTTAAATATCTCACCAGAAGAGCGAGTTATTAGTAGGTGACATAAAAGAAGAGGGTCGACATTGTGAGCGATGGATTCAAGTAAGAGTTCGTTGTGAATAATCTTATCCGAAGCCTCCTAAAACATTAGCAGGATCAATTATAGAGTCTGTAAATGAAATAGAAACTTACTTCTTCAGGAGTATCGTGTTCTTGTAGGCTCATGACTCGCTTTTTCTTGTCAGCATGAGTCAGGTCAGTCAGCAAAAAAATCAGAACATAGCCCCTCCTTTTCTTGGAGGAGCCACACCCTTCGGGCAGGAGGGGCTAGTTATTAGTCTACACGTGCTTGAACTGCACGTTGGGAAGGTACTGTAGAAAGGGGTAGGTGAGGAACAAAGATCCATTTGAATCTCCTCTGCTAGGGGTCTATCATAATGGTGAGCATGAGAGAGAGGGAGTAATGGCTGCATATGATGATTTAGTATCTATAGTGTATTAATAGGGTTTTGTATTGTTACCATTGACAGGGTTTTTTTAAAGTTATAAAGGACAAATCATATTTTAAGAGATATCAAGTCAAGTACAGGAGAAGAAGAGGTACATTAAATTAGA